TTTCAGAAACACATCACCAGGCCTTTCTCCTGAGGCACCTTTGGGTGGAATCAAGCCTCCAGCTTTTCGGTTAGCAGCCAAGCACATTAACCATTCACACCATCTAGGAACTCTGGAATGACCTCAGGAGCTTTAAAAACGTACAAATGCCTGGGTTTCACCCCTAGAGATTCGTATTTAATTGGTCTGAGGTGCAGCTGGGCCTCAAGGCTTTTAAAGGCTGCCTGGATGATTTCACTGTGCAGCCAGCGTTGAGCACCACTGCTCTGGGATGGTCATGCTTCAGCTTGGTAAGACTGTTGATGGATTTCATTAGGGCTCTCCAGATTGCTTAAATAGTCTATATTGGTAAATGGATATCAATTATAAATATAAACATAAAATAATTTGCATCGAAGTCAGACTAGTGCATATAAACCAACAAAGTGCTGTATTATTGCTTTTCTTACACTTACGGGGACAGACTGGCAGATGATTCAAGTATGGAATGCAGCTCGATTGTTCTATTAGTGGTAACAGACAGTAATCCCTTTCAATTAATATTGCCCCAAACAGATTCAGCAGAACCCAGTTCAGATTAATATCAAAACTAAATGCGCTCTTTTCCTCTTTTCTAATTTTATAAATATTAAATGATGCTTTTCCTTTCACATGATGACCTAGCTTAGCTCTGCAACGAGACTGTACCTTTAGTAGAGAGAGAACACACATTTCTCTTTCTTCAGTTTAATCCTTTTAGACCAATATTTTAGTCTCCAATTTTGTTCTATTACACTTTTCTAAAGTAAATCATGTTGCCTTTAGTAGAAAAATGAGTTTTCCTAAAAATATACCTTACAAAGTTCAGTGCTACACAAGAGGATGCTATCCCTCAAAAAAGTTACAAAAATAGATTTACATTTAAAAATCCTATCTGAATGAATGTGTCTTCAGTAATATACAAATGTACGCTCCTGATATAGCAGATGTGGCTGGTCAGAGGCAGGAATTTCTATTCAGTAAGGTTTTACAGCCCCCAGGCAAGACAATAAAAGCAGATCATTATGTTGTAATAAAAACATGTGCTTATGCAAAGAAAGAAATGCGAAGTAGACATTACAGGCAATTCCACAGCTGTCACTTGAGAAGCAGCAGCTCATTCATTGGGGGAAGAGATCAATTTTTTTAATTCACTCCTTAATTTACTTAATTTATTTCTTAGAAAATGCAAAGTGTCCCAGGGATTTATTTAAGGTCAGATTTGGTTATTTGCCACTTTTGGAATAAAGTGCTGGTGACAACAAATTAGAGGGTTTTGGAATGGCTTCTAGTGGCCAAGTCTGGGGGCATATTTGCAATTGCAAATTTTTCTGTCTGCTGCATCTGGGAATCTCTAGCACACTCTGTTTCTTTTATTCTACCCTGACTTGGGGGCATGGTTTAGATTTATAGGCTTGGAAACTGAAGGAGACTTTAGAGATACGGGGTCCAACGCTGGTTGCTCATTAAAATCATCTGGGGGAGCCCCTGAGCTTCTAATTGGTCTGAGACTCCAGATATCATTTGTTTTCAACTCACCAGGTGATTCTGGTGTGCACCACAGTGAGAACTGGTGAGGTACCATATTAATAGTCTCATCCGACACCTGGGCAACCTGAGGCCTGAGGCAGTGAGTCATGAGTCATGAGTCGATCGGCCAAGCACGGAGGTCTCCCTCTCTAAGGTCTTTTATTTATACCAGTGGTTCTCAAACCTTGAAGCTCGTCAGACTAACCTGGAGCGCTTTCAGAAATCTAGGGCCTGTCTCAGGCAGGCTGCATCTCAGACAAACTAAAACAGAATTTTTTTGGTGGGACACAGGAGATTCCGAAGGGATCAAGCTTGAGAACTGATGCTTTTTGTACTTTTACTTTCATAGTTTATTTATGTCTGCGATTTTTGGGGGGTTAAAGCACAACATTAGGAACTTATGACAAAAACTTTAAGCCTTGTTCTCTTCTAAAATGCAACATGATGCCTCCACTTACTCATAGCATAAAATCAGTGACAATGGGGATGCGCAGCAAATGTAAAAGTTTAGAAGATTTATCTTAAGGAAAAAAAAATTTTTAACGGCAGAAGTATTTTTCATAGGGTGTAATTACAGAAATCCCTTAGAGGTTATGTGAGAAAATGTACGTAAGGATAGTGGCCCATTGTGAATGTTAGCCCCAATTCTTCTCTTACAAACCCTGAACTCTGTTTCCAAAGGCTGGCCCCTGGGGAACTGACTGAGGAAGAAACAGCAGACAGACTCTCTGTGGGGCCCTTAGGGACTTATTGTCAATGAGGAAAGACCAGAGGGACAGATTTTAAGATCTGTTAATTAGTGATGTGATGCTGAAAACTATGGACCTTTCCTAAGTCACCCACAATGACCTGGTGGGTCCTTGGGGAAGGCTGGAGCTCTGTGGGTTCCACAAGCCCTTCCACTCCTTCCTGGACAGACGGAGTGAGGAAAATTTTAGAATAGAATTTAGCAAAAAAATTTTTTGCAGGAAGATGGAAATACAAGGGAGAAGAAAAGAAAGCTTGACTGGTTTTTGCTGTTTATTGTGTTATAGTAAAATATTCCAGGTTACAAAGGTACTAGGTGTTGTAATTGCTACAATTTGACTGGCTTACAATTGCCCTCCCTCAATGATCATCTGCTTCTTGACAAATAAATGATCACAGAACGTGAATCATTCTGTTTGCCAGTTCTGAATATCTAACTAAAATACGTTTACATTCCAAGCTGAATGGATAATGAAAGTGGTTACCGACAATGTAATAAAACCTCAGATTCTTAGACATGTTGCTTAATTTTCTCACTAATCATTTTCAAAGAAGACAGCCCAAAATTCCCAATGAATGGCATTCAGGGAAGTTGAGGAATGCTATAAGCCTAATCCCCAGTTTGTTAGGATGGCTTAAAGCTGCCTTTAAACCTACTTTGTTCGTAGATTCCTTTCTCAGGCGTTTCTTAGCCAGGGCTCCCTCTGCTGGAAATTCCATTTCCCTTGTGGCTAAAACCCTGGTCATCTTTTAGGCCCAGCTCCAATGTTGCCTCTTTGATGAATCTTCCCAAGTAGATTTAATGAATCTCTCCTGCTCTACACATTCATAGTGCTTGGCTACCAAGTCATGGCTAGCATTTGCCATATTGTTTTCAGCTGAGTATTTATAAGTTCATTTCCTTTCCTAAACTGTGAGTTCACTGGAATCAGGGATTATGTTTTATTTATTTTTGTGTCTTTAGTACCTGTGCCAGGCTGATCTACATGCTTAAAAGTATTTGCAAATGTCATGGAGTTGAATCTAGTTTTATTTCCATTGAGAAAAATCAAACATTTTGGTTAACTGTGGGGCCTTGATCCATCTGAGTCAATAAATAATTTAAAACCACAAGGAAAATTTTGCATGTGTATGTGGCTGAATACATCCAGAGGCTGAATACATTGTCTGAAGCATTTCTTCCTTGAGAAACTGGACTGGGAGGGATGCTGAGTGAAGAGAGTGTTAAACACTTCCTATCAGGGACTGCCATTGACCAACCAGGTTGCAGGGACACACTGGTTAGAAAAAAAGTTGATCATAACTAGTTGGGGATCCTCCAATTTATACTGGAAATATTCTAAGCAGGGAAAAGACCTTTTTTGCTTTTAGGACATCTTGTAGATGTTGCTGTGAAGGCATTACCCTAGAGGTCAAACTCTAATTCCCATTTAAAACCCGCACTATAAATAACTGTGTCTTTATTTGTGCCTGTAAATTGACCTACAGTGGCATGGACTGTAAGTTCTTACATAATTGCCACAGGACCTAGAACCTTTTTTCACAAAGGGCAAGGAGAGGCGTTGGCGGCTTATCTGGCAGGAGCAAAGTACCCTTCAAGTAAAAAAAAAAAAAAAAAAGTAACATGAAAATTCTTTCTCATGAGTAGCCTAAGCTAAATTTTTTTATTTATTTGGTGGGGGGAGGGAAAGGGGCGGGAGGCTAAGTCAGTTTTAAGAGCAGCTTCGTTTTTGTAGCAGTCTCCTGATATATGCCCCAGAGGACTTGCTGCATTCCACCTGAGACTCAAATTTGGCAGATATGTTCCTGTGTGAACGTTTGCATTTTCATTCCATCTTAATTAAAGGCTACTGGTCTGAATGCTGATGAATCAGATGTGTGCTGGAATTTTGGTCATTTTTTTGCAGTACCACCTTCTCCTGCTGACTTTACGACAGCAAGACAGGAAAAGCATATCAAGTTTCAAAACAATGGAATGGAAAATAAACGAGTAGGTCAAATAATTGAGCAATTAGAAAACAGTGGACAAACAATAGAGAGTAAGTACCAAGGGGACATTTACACAAAATGAAGTCTGAGGACAAACTCTACCTTCTCCAATGCTGTTGTGCCCAGGCAGGGACAAAGTGGCTTATCCTTTTGTACCGCACCATGGTTTGATCCAGAACCAACTAGGCCTGCTCAGAACATAGAGGACTTTTTGTTTTTTTTAACTGTCTTGAGATGGAAGAGTCTTGAAGCGAGCCCATGGAACTAAGGGTTAGCTGGAAGACTTGTGACCCATGTTCCTTGGTCCCAGGAGCCTGGATCAGCTCAGAGTAGCTGGTGCTACAAGCAGCCTTCTCTCTCACTGGAAGAGCCCATTAACAGCAAAATCAAACAACGACAGTTAAAAACCCCTAAGGTCCCCAAACAATTAAACTCCTACGCCTATTTTTTTCCCCCCAAATATACCTCACTGAAAGGTCAAGTTCTGCCCAAATAGACAACCTTCTTGCCGGATGCCTTTTTTGGAAGCCTCAGAGCCTGAAGACGAAGGAATGGACCTGTAACTTCCCAAAGTGCTTCTGAGTGGAGGGACACTCCGGTTGAAAGATGGGCCACTCAAAGCAAATGTGGCAAAATCAGTCCACAGGCCTGAGAGTTTATATGGGCGTGGCTATCAGTACCGTCATAGCCGCCATGGCTTGGTCCTGGGTAGCTGAAGAGTCTGGAATTTTTATGGCTGATGTTTTCCTCCACGGTCATGCTCCAATAAACTCACTGCTTGGTGGTGCGACCCTTAGGTATTCTGCATTTTCAGCTGCAGGAACCTTAAAGATGCCATTTGGCTTGGCTTCCTTGGGAAAGAAGTCCTGTTGGTAGTCGGGGTTGTCCAGGCTGATCTGGTGGATGCCCCTCTGGGCCCAGATGGCGGGGCTGTCAGATACACTGTTGACATAGGCAGGCTGGGTGGTGTTGAGATACTCAGGGTTCTCCACGGCACTGCTGTGGGGGTTTTGGTAGTGAGGGTCTCTGCCAGGGGTTGGATTCAGAGGCTGATTGTGGTAGACGGGGTTCTGGACAGAGCCCGCGGGCCTTTTGGGAACAGACTGGTTTATGTATTCTGGAATTGAAAAGAAATTGGAGATGAAATAACCAGCAAACCATCATCCCCAAGCAATGATTCCACGATTCATATTTCAAACCTTGTGAATGTCTTTGATGAGGAAGCTGATGAGACAGGGGAGGGAAGACTGGGGAGACTACTATGTTGCTGTTGCTGCAAAATAAACTGTGTTCTTTTATGTACTTCTCAAAGCAATGGTTACATTTATCTTCTACAGATGTAAAGTTGGCAGAGGATAGCCTGCCTTGAGACGAGTGAGTGTGTGTGTGTGTATGGGCATGATATGTGTATATGGTATGTGTGTGTGTAGGGGGCAGTGGGGGACAGGTTGGGAGAATCTGGGGATAAAGCTTAGATTAGGAAAATACATGTTTCACAGGTTAAGAATGGAACCAGGAGGGAAAAGAGGGACCAAATCTGTCATATACGTATTGCTATTTGCTTTAAATTCTAGAAAATCTGGAGATTCATTACTTTTTTGAAGTTTTCTTTTCAGTTAAAATTTTTCTTATTGTGGTAAATACTATGTAACAAATTCTTTGCTTTTCAATATTTTTCACAGATACAGTTCAGTAACATTAATTGTTTATCATGTTGTTCAACCATTAGTATTATCCCCTTCCAGATTTTCCCATCGCCCTTAACAGAAGCTCAGTGCTCCCTAACCAATGTTGTTGTTGGTGCCGTTGGGTCTGTTCTAACCCACAGTGACCCCATGTACAACAGAACACAACACTGCCCAGTGCGGCACCATCCTCACAGTCGTTCCTGTGTTTTAGCCCATTGTTGCAGTCACAGTGTCAATCCACCTCACTGAGGGTCTTAAACAATGAGTCCCTTTTCTCCCCTCCCTCCCACCTGTGCCCGGTAACCATTAATAAACTCTGGTCTCTATACATTTGCCTATCTTAGATGTTTCATGTAAGTGGAATCATACAATATTTGTCCTTCTTTGACTGACTTACTTGACTCCACACAATGTTTTCAATGTTTATTCATGTGGTAGCACGGATCAGGACATCATTGCAGATTCATCACTGGAAAAAACTTACACATTGTGTAACCTGAACGCAACTCGATCTCAACAGAGACCTTGGGAATGCTCAGTCATTTTGTATTTATTTGCCTCTTACTCCCTAAACGGTGTCTACAAATTTTCTAGTCACGACTTCTAGATCAACATCAGGCGCCTCAGGCAGAAGGAAACACCCAGCATGGCCACTACGGGACCAAGGCCAGCTGCTGCTGGATGGGGAAGCTGAGGAGCTGTTTCCAGAACAAGCCACTCACCTGGAACTGGAAGGAAACTGTCATCAATGCTCTCTTCAGTCAAGGCTCCCGTGGGGTCAGAACTGTACCGCTGCAAGAAACTGTCCTCCTTGATGGGACAGCTCTGCTGGGGAGGAAATATGGCAGGTGAGAAAAAAAAAAATCCAAGTGTTTCCCAAACTTTAGGGTACATGAAAATTACCCAAGATTGTGTTAAAATGTAGATTCTGATTCAGTGGATCTGGGGCAGGACCTGGGATTCTGCATTTCTAATGAGGCCTCAGATGATACTCATGGCTGGTCCATGGACCACGGGGCAAGGAGCAGGGCCTGGTCAATAGAACCTTCTCCAATGATGGAAATGTCTGACATGTCATTAGTGAACACTTGAGATCTGTGGGGAACTTAATTTTAAATTTTATTTAATTTTAATTAAAATTTAAATAGCCACATTTGGCTGGTGGCTTCTGTATTGGACGGCGCAAATCTAGATCAAGGCACCCACCTTATCATGCATCAGCATCAGCTGGAAGGTTGGTTCAAAGACAGAGTGCAGGGCCCCACCCCCAGAGATCCTGGCTCAGAATGTCAGGGTGGTGGCCCGGGAATTTGCATTTCCAACAGCTGCCAGGTGATGCTAGGGATGGTCCTCAAACCATTGCACTACGTGATTTCTAATTGTCTGCTTTAAAGTAATGGTCAAGGAAACCATGAAGGGAAGGAACCATACAGGAAGGAAAATCAAGACTGTTTTAGTCAAGATGGGCATTTTCTATGTATAACAGAGCCGTGATATAGAGCCACTGCTTAAGGGTGGTTTATTTGGTGCTCATACATACCCCGTTTCTGTCAATGCAAGCCACAGTGGAATTGTTGCTGGTTGCACTCTGAAAAAGAAACGGACACGTTGCTCATGGCATGCTTGTGCATTCTCACCCACCTCCACTGAAAGCAAGAGGTGGGTCTCATCAAGTGGCTGTATTTAAAGATGCTTAATTTTTGTCTTGAATCATTAGCTTTACAAAAAGTAGGTTTAGTTCTGATTTAATTCTGCTCCTTAAGAAAAAAACCAAACCCATTGCCGTTGAGTCGATTCCCACTCATAGCAACCCTATAGAACTACCACGTAGGGTTTCTAAGGAGCGGCTGGTGGATTCAAACTGCTGACCCTTTGATTAGCAGCCATAACTCTTAACCACTGTGCCACCAGGGCTCCATTTAGTTGATCTAAAAAGACTGCTATCAAGTTGTTGCAGTGCAATGAAATACTTAATACATCAATGTAATTCACTTGATTTTGGCTTTACCATTTGGTTAAAATTTACTTCCTCATCTCTATATGAATTCCACTAGATAGGTATGTTTTTTCTTTAAAACCCAATTTGTTCCAACCAGTAGACCCAGACTGAGAGAGAAGGAGAAGTTTCGTACCAGAGAATTTAGGAGGGGAGTTCGAGATGTGGAAGGACTGTTGAAGAATCCCTGCTGTGGAATGAGGTACTCGTCCGCATCCACGACATCTTCCATGTCCTCTTCATCCATCAGGGCGCGGTAAAAATTTGAGTCTGTAGGGCTTGGCAGATGCATTCGTTCATCCCCCTTCATTAGAAAGGTCGAGAGAGATATTATTCCACTTCTTAGCTATAGGGATCTATTTGTCAGTATGTGCCAGTATGTTTGCCAACTTAGTTATAATAAGAACCCCCTGGTTCTCTGAAGTAGAGCTGCTTTCCCCAACGCCTGAAATTAAAACATTAAAAATTTCTTGATGTCTAATGAGGGAAAAGAAAAGGATGAAGTAACAGCATTCACGGAGTGTGTGCTGTGTTGTTAGGTGTTGTGCTATGTATTTTACATGTATTACTTCAGTCAATCTTTAAAACACCTCTGTGAGGTTGGTTTTACTACTTGTATGTTAGATAAAGAGATACATTAATAGGTTGTCTGAGGTGACAGACACAGTAAGGAAGTAAACCCAGGTTTGCTTGACCCTAAAGTCTAGCTTTTCCATTATACCAAGTTAAGGCTTTGGCTAATTGCAATGCAAAGATGACAGGTGGAACCTGTGGGGACAGACAGAAGGAGATGGTGAAAATGGAGTTGCGTAGGTACCACAAATCAACTTCACCGAGTTCACAACTTGGCCTATGTCCTAACTGAGACTTGTTCTGAGGCTCTGAAGTTACTAATGTGACCCAGGAAATCGTGGGGCCAGGCTGGCTCTTGGTGGGGTGCAAGTACATTGGGTGTTCACTAGAGGGACTTTTCCCAATTAAAGTGCAGTCTGAGGTCTGGTACCTGAATGACAAGGTAGCGCTGAGGGTCACGGGCCATTTTGGAGAATTCAATGATCAACTCACGGAACTTTGGGCGACTATCTGCATCTATCATCCAGCCTGGAGAAAGAATGGGAACAAACAATACAATTAGAACTTTGGAAGAAAGGATAGAGATTGTATTCTTTAAGGTATTTAAGATGAGACCCTTTTAGACAAATATAAACGATAAAGAAACCTAATCTTTGTGACAGACCTTTCGGTCTTGGCAAACTAGCACTGATTAATGTTTAAAGACCATGATGACATAATAGGTTTGAATCAGAGTGACATGAACATCCTTTAATTGTTCTGTGATCCACTTTTCCTATGGTCAGCATGTCTGTGTTATCACCTTAGGTGATGCAGGAGCGTTACCATCCCCAGTCTATACCTATGAGCTACTCTGATTGTAGGAAGTCCTCGTCTAGTCTATCGGGCAAAGTCTTCACTCCACATTCATCCTCATTTATATTCTTTATTTTTTCCCATACAAAAATTTATACATACACTGTTATGTCATTCTAATTGCTCTCCCCATACTTGACAGCACACTCCTCCTTTCCACCCCTGATTTCCCATGTCCATTGAACCAGCTCCTGACCCTCTCTGCCTTCCCATCTCACCTCCAGACAGAAGCTGCCCCTTTGGTCTCTTGTATCTACTTGAGCTAAGAGGCACACTCCTCACCAGTATCACTTTACGTCCCACAGTCTAGTCCAATCCCTGTCTGAAGAGTTGGCCTCGGAAATTGTTTTAGTTCTCGGCTGATAGACAATCCAGGGGCCATGCTTTCCAGGGTACCTCCAGTCTCAGTCAGACCATTAAGTCTGGTCTTCTTACTAGAATTTGAGTTCTGCACCCCACCTTCCTCCTGCTCCATCTGGTACTCTCTGTTGTGTTCCCTGTCAGGGCGGTCATTGGTGGTAGCCAGGCACCATCTAGTTCTTCTGGTCTCAGGCTGATGAAGTCTCTGGTTTATGTGGCCCTTTCTGTCTCTTGGGCTACCACTTTCCTTGTGTCTTTGGTGTTCTTCATTCTCCGGTGGTTGGGACCAATTGATGCATCTTAGATGGTCGCTTGCAAGCTTTTAAGACCCCAGACATCACTCACCAAAGTAGGATGCAGAACATTTTCTTAATAAGCTTTATTATGCCAATTGACCTAGATGTCCCCTGAAAGCATGGTCCTCAGACCCCTACCCCTGCTACTCTGTCCCTCAAAGTGTTTGACTGTATTCAGGAAACTTCTTAGCTTTCATTTAGTCCAGTTGTGCTGACTTTCCCTGCAGTGAGTGCTGTCCTTCCCTTCACATAAGATAATTCTAATCTACTATCTAGTTAGTAAATAACCCTCCCTCCCCACCCTTGTAACCATCAAAGAACATTTTCTTCTCTGTTTAAACCTTTTCCTGAGTTCACCTTCGTTTATATTCAATCGACTGTCTTTCAAGCTAGAAAGCAGATTCAATTCAGGGAACTACAATGGCTTTAAGGAGCTTGGAGTTTGGGAACCCTATACCCTGGTGCTTTCATTGTCTTACATACTCAGTAATCATGCATGCCTGGGTGGCGCAGATGGTTAACGCGCTCTGAGTCCACCCAGAGGCCCCTCAGAAGAAAAGCCTGGCAATCTGCTTCTGAAAAAATCAGTCATTGAAAACCCTATGGATGTCCGTTCTACTCTGACACAAATGGGTCACCACGAGTTGGAATCAACTCGACAGCAACTGGCAAGGTAAGAATCATGCATGCAAACCACAGAGGTGGCTATGTCAGTGCCTGCCTTAGGGAGACCCTTTTGCTCTCCATGCTAATGTATTTGATTATACAATGATGGAGGTCTAGATTAAACAAGCTGGAGGAAAAGCTATGAACTGGAAATCCTTGAGCCTCTTGAGGGTTCACATTTATTTTCCATCAGCAGGATGTCAAGCTATTTTAGGCCAGACTGCACTGTGACCTTAGAGAAATCATGTAACCTTTCTGGATCCCAGCTTCCTCAACTCAAAGCAAAGAAGTTAAAATAGATTAACTCTGGGGTCTAAAGTTCAGAAAGCATGAATATTTGTATTAACTTGGCCCTATCATACTCCCGATGCTACCTTCTTGTGTAAACACTTGTCACACATGTAATTTTATCTCCTGAACTTGTGATTCTGGTGGATGAATAGCGTCAATCAAATTACACAGTCTTATTTGGATTCGAATGTTTAAATGTCAGATTGCAGAAGACCTCACATAAATCTCCTGGTTGCAAGGTTTAAGTCAAAGCAGAAATGTTGATTCTATTAGCCTCGTGTGGTTACTCATTGTTAGACATTTTAAAAACATTCAGTCTCTCTGGTAACAGGCTTTAAAATGTGGGGTGGCTTGGTATTTCATTGAGCGATGGGGAGAATGGAATATTTTGGAGTAGCACTTTGGTTTTATTTACTTGCAAACATGGGCAAATGTCAGGTCAGAGTGTTGAATGAGTCAGCGAGTGCTTTCCGAAGAATGCTTGGAGGGGGGTATTTACGGATGTTTTTGGGCTGTGTGCCTGCCCTGAAAAATGTGATGCATTTCTACAGGGAATCAGAGCCTACATTTGTTTGGCTAAAAGCAGCAATGCCTTTGCAGGCACAAAAAGGCAATCTGAGTGCCTGTGCCCAGCTCAGTGAGGATGGATGGCAACATCAGCACACTCACACTTGACCATGATCATGTAGACATCGATGGTGCACACGGGTGGCTGCGGAAGGCGCTCTCCTTTCTCCAGGATGGATGAGATCTCGCTTGCAGGAATTCCATCATAAGGCTTGGATCCAAAGGTCATCAACTCCCAAACTGTGACACCTGAGGAGATGATCAAATACAATCGCGTTATCAAAGAAAGTAGTCACTTTATGAGTTCGTGATAATAACGACACCTTGACTTTAATTCATTATTTTTTATTACTGCTTCTCAAGGTTTAGAAGCCTATGCTTCTCTGTCCTGGGGCAATTTGTTTGACTTGCTTGAAGCCTCAGTTTACTTCTCGGTAAAACAGGATAATAACAACATCTGTCTCATTCAACAGTGTGGGGATCAAAATAACATAATGTAATACCTGGCAAATAACAAGTGACTAAATAACATAAACTTTAATAATAACAATAAACACAACAATCACAACAACAATGATGACATAAGTATTATGATGCTATGGAGCAGTAGCTTTTGAGCTCTGCCCAAAGTGACCTGCATCTATGGAGGGGGAAGTATGGAGATTTTGAGCAAGGCTGTAAAATACAACGCGTTTTTGAAAAATAATGAAAGAACAAAAAATGGAAAACAAGCAAAAAAAAAAACTTGTTTCTTTTGATAAACATAAAAGCCTTATATTTTTATTTTATAATCAATCATCATAGCTAAAAATAAATCAGAGCAGTAGTAGTTTTAGGAGAAGGTGTCTTTTCCACCTACTCCCAAGTTCTGATGGTCCTTCCATCTCGGTGCCTCCCTTGTGGGGATTCTCTGCTTTAGACACATACAAAGGCTTTAGGGGGTCCATAGGTTCCTGCTGTCCCCACCTTGATATCAGAGGTGGCCTATGATGCCACTAGGGATGACCAGAGTGGGACAGAGCCCTGGGTCCCTGACTATCAAGGGGGAGAGCAGACACAGGAACCCAGCAGAGATTCCTGATCTACAGTTGGTCCAGTGATCCACTGTCTTCAGACTTGGCCTCTAGATACATATTAACAGAGAACCGTTAGGATTTTCAGAGGTCATTCCTGAATTACCTGAATTAACATACAGAACGCAGGGGTACAAATGCAGGGAAAACCATGCTCCCGTGACAAGAAAATACATGTCTGTCTTTTCCCTGACATAGTCAACATGACTTGGTGAGAGAAAAGAAATCTAATTTCTAGATCTATGAAGTCAGTTAATTCCAGTTTTAACAAGGTGTTTACAAACGCATGGGGCCCTGGTGGTGCAGTGGTTAAAAGCTCAGCTGCTAACCAAAAGGTTGGCAGTTCGAATCCACCAGCCGCTTCTTGGAAACCCTATGGGGCAGTTCTACTCTGTTCTGTAGGGTCGCTATGAGTCAGAATCGACTCGACGTCAACGGGTTTGGTTTTACGGTTTACAAGTGCATGATGAATTTGTGTGGGAAGGTAGGGTTTTTAGGTGTGTGAACAAATGAGGGGGGACATGTGTGTGTACCTGGTGGTAGGGTAAGGACTGGAGGTTGGTGTGAATTGTTTTCAACTCCTAAGTGGAACACACTAGGTCCCTAACTTATTAAAATGAACGTTTTGCTGACTGGGAACTACAGTGGAGTAACAGGATCTGCTTTGGAAACTAAAAATTCTGTCTCATAGTCTAACAATTTCAGTGTACCGCCAGGGACAGCAGGTTATATAGTAAAGTGAAGACACAACATCCAATGAAATTAAAGACACATGACCTCTGTAGTTATGCTTAACTTTCCGATGTTGGCTGCAAATGCTCAGAGGTACTAAGTCACTGAATTCAAGAGAACTGTCATTTCTTTGACAAAGGTACACCAGGTGTGGACTGTGTGTTTGGCATACATTGGCTGGAGCACAGAGGGAGGCGGGAGAATGGAGCCCCAGCACCTGGGAAAGGTGGGACAAGCTAGACCATTCAGGAGCTTATTGATCATATTAGGAGTCTAGATTCTATGTGGAACATACTGGAAAATCAAACAGTGATGGTAAGCAGAGAAGTAAGAGTCTGATATAGTTAAAAGATACGCTTGGGCTGCTGTCTGGAGAAGAAATGAGAGGAAGCCACTGCTGTGGTGTGCTGAGGGAGGGAGTAGCTGGCACTGGTGAGGGACAATGGAAATAATAGGGACTGGATACAGGAGCGGGAAAAAGAAGCATTTCCCCCATCCCTCCTGTGGAGTAAAGCTATGTTGAATTGAAAATAACAAGGCATCAGCATAGCTTTACTTCCTCATTTAGTCCATTAATTGCAGGCAGCTCACAGGTACATGTTAAAAAAAAAGAAAAATCATTAATTCACAAACAGAGATCTCTGCCTTTGCAGAGCTTATGTTCTAGAAAAAGAGATAGACAAAAGCCCATGAAATAAGAACAACTATTTGGAATATTAGAAAATTAATATAAAAAAAAGGTTACCATTGAGTCAATTCTGACTCACAGCAACCCTATAGGACACAGCAGGACTGCCCCATAAGGCTTCCAAGGAGCGGATGGTGGATTGGAACTGCCGACCTTTTGGTTAGCAGCCAATCTCTTAACCACTACCCCACCAGGGCTGCAGCAACCCTATAGGGCTATAGAAAAAAAAAAAGAAAAAATAGTAAATGAGTGGTTCCTGAATGATTTTGTTTTTGTGATAATGACTAAACGTCTCTTGGAAATTCCCGGCAATACTGCTCTTCTTAAATACACATTGGAGTCCTTGGGTGGCATAAATGATTAAAGTGCTTGGCTGTTACTGAAAGGCTGGAGATTTGAGTCCACCCAGAGGCACCATGGAAGAAAGGCCTGGCCATATACTTCTGAAAAATAAGCCATTGAAAAACCCTGTGGAGCACATAGGGTTCTACTCTGACACACATGGGGTCACCATGAGTTAGAGCTGACTCCATGGCAATTGTTACTTTTTTAAAAATATGGTACACATGTTGTCATGGATTGAATTGTATCCCCTAAAAATATGTGTATCAGTTTGGCTAACCCATGATTCCCAGTATTGCGTGAGTGTCCACCATTTTGTCATCTGACGTGATTTTCCTGTGTGTTGTAAATCCTATCTCTGTGAGGTTAATGAGATGAAATTAGTGGCAGTTATGTTAATAAAGCAGGACTTAATCTACAAGATTAGATTGTGTCTTAAGCCAATCTCTTCTGAGATATAACAAAGAGAAGCAAGCAGAGGGACGTGGGGTACCTCATACCAACAAGTAACAAGAGCCAGGACAACAGTGTGTCCTTTGGACCTGGGGTCCCTGCACTGAGAAGCTCCTTGACCAGGGGAAAATTGATGACAAGGACCTTCCTCCAGAGCTGATGGAGAGAGAAAGCCTTCTCCTGGAGCTGATGCCCTGAATTTGGACTTGTAGCCTACTAGACTGTGAGAGAATAAATTTCTCTTTGTTAAAGCCATCCACTTGTGGTACTTCTGTTATTTGTATGGAGGTGGGGTGACTTTTCCCTTAGCTCTCATTGCTCGAAATGGCTAAGGTTAGCTGGTAATTCATAAATTATTATAGATAAGGTATTTTCCAGCTTTTCAGCAGATTGCTGGTTGAAAGTTGAGAGCCAAGTTTGATAATAGCACAGCTGTCAATAACAATCTATTAATACTTTTTTTTTTTTTTAAGGTGAGGACCTTGTAGGCTCAGAAAGTCATTTGCACAAAGGCAATGGGGCAAGAACAAATGCACATGGCAGGTTTAAAGAAGAGCGGCTTCCCTTGTGAGGACTGAGTGCAGGTTTGCGGCTGCTACTGTGGGACATGACGGAAGAAATGGAGAATCAGATCCTCATGAGACGGTCCGTATGAAAGCTGGAAGCAATAACTATTTCCTTAGACACATCCTCAAAATGCATTTTCGTCAAGCCATTATCTCTAATATACAAAGACTACCATTCACTGAATGGAACAATAGCCATTAGTCAGTTGATCATAAAAACCTCATTTATCTGCTGAAAACGCTTCTCCATGAAACCTCACTTATCACCTCCCTTTGATTCACTTCAACTTCGTGACGAGAGGTCAAATTTTGTTTGATTTCGAAGGTAGGGGCATTTCCTAGTTCACGTTCTCCCTCCCTTTCATCCTTCATTCAGACAAGGTTACCGATTTCTCAAGTCACATTTACTACAGTCATTAGACTCAATTTCCTTTGTCGTTTTTTCTTAGCATAATAGGTAGACAAAAATGATTACGTTATTATTAGTCATTGTCTTGAAAGAAAATCCTGGGATGACAGAGCACATAATGTAAATTAACAAACAACAGACCCAGCTCAGCCTCAGCACAAATTCACCAGCATCAGGATTTTGACTCACCATAGCTCCAGACATCACTTTGGTGGGTATAAATGCGGTGTAAAATCGATTCCAGAGCCATCCATTTAATAGGGACCTTGGAGTGATGAGAGATAAAGTATTAAGACAACTATTAGCTCCCCTCTGTAGAAGAACATTAAATCACACGGGGACTAATTACAAGTGACAAACGCTGGGGATCCGGGCCAGCTCCCCCGCGTTGGGCTCCCGTCCCTGCTGGAAGAGCAGGTTTTAAATTGAGCCGGACCACCGGGGTTGCTCTGTTAGCCCCGCGGTGGGTTTCATGAACATGACAGCTGAGGACAACTGAGGCCGTGGGCTGTTCTGGCCGAGCCGAGTGCACCTGCTGGTGGCTTGGAGCCCTGGTTCTGTCTATGATCCCAATGCCCAGTATTTGTGTGTGTTTGCACAGCCTGTGGTCACAGGGCTGACAGCTGCCTGAGCCATGCAGGCCAGAGTGAAACCAAAGAAACACGCAGCTAATCCCACCAGCGGTGGTGGGAGAGCACCCTGGAGGGCCCGAAGGGAGATGTGTGCCCCTCTTCCTAACCCTGGAGAGCCCCCTAGCCAGACAGCGAGAAGGGAGCCGACCCAAACATTGCCAGTTCCAGACATGAGTCACAGAGACCCATGGAGCCTGCGAACAACACAGTGAGTGTTCCTATTTCTGAAATGTCCTCAACAGCAGTGAGCCACCAAATTAGCTATGACATTTCTCAGCAGCGCTTTTGAAGGAAGCTTATTTCCTGGAGGGAAGGCTGAAACCTAACCTTTGCTAAATATCACCTGGAGAGGGAACTGAACTAATCTTTACTGTCTCTGGCCTCTGGCTGGGTGGGAAACATCTTTACTCTCTCTCCTAGAAAATCCTCGCTCCAAAAGCAGCTCTGTTTCTGCTGCTGGAAGACCCTGGCTCGACCCAGACGGCCATGGCAGCCGCTGTGGCCTCACCCAGAATGTTCTGAGCACGCTCCCTGCATCATTTAGAAAGTATGCCAAATGTGTGGCCCACAGGTAGGGAGCTGGGTCTCTGCTGCTGGGAAAACGCTCCCTGACCACCAAGTTAGCTCCTTACTTTGCCTCCTTCAGCGTGGTACTCCTTCTCCTCAGCACCTAGCAGTTTCGCCAGCCCAAAATCTGTGATCTTGACATGCTGGGGAGTCTTCACCAGGACGTTTCTCGCGGCCAGGTCGCGGTGCACCAGGCGGCGGTCTTCCAGGTAGTTCATGCCCTGAAACACGAGGTAGATGGTGAGGGCACAGAGAACCCGGCCTGCTGACTAGCTTCCCCGCGAGGAAAGCTGCCTGCTGACAGTGTAGGACAGTGGTGCTCATGTGCTGGAATTTAATGTCCCCATTCATGCTGGATTCTGAGCTCCTCTATGGCAGAGACTATGTCGGAGTCCACCCTGCCCTTCACTTAACAAACACAATAGCTTGCACATCGTAAATGTTAGTGACAACCTATTGCATGAATGAATACGGTAAACAAATGAAGTCTATAACGAGTGGAGGATTCAATAACTTTACTCCGTCCAGTTATTCAAGTTAAAAACACAGAAGTGCCAAGCAGGAGAGGACAGTGATAGGGCAGGAGCGCTGCCTTCCAAGTCTGGGTCTGAAGCTTGCTCTGGAACTTGTCACCTGTGTCCCTTCCTGCCTGCTTCTTCCTTCGCGGGAGCTTAGAGGAGAGGACGCTCCCAGCCTCCCCAGGCCGTGGCAAAGCAATCATCCTCAAGGTTTTTAAATCATGCTCTCATTATGCTTTCCTAGACTATCAGATGCAATTTACTGCCAATGAAGATTTTTGTTCAGTTTTGTTTTCTGCCATTTTTATTACTGAAACCACATGGATATTGGACCTGCTTTTACAAGGTGCCATTCCCTACCACCTCCCTGGCTGCCTCTACAATTCTGTTGTAATCTGAATCTCTGCAGGAATAGCTCAGTGCCCAGCACAGTGAATTTCCAGAAACATCACCCCGAACACAGTCTTCACCCATAGCCTTCTCTCAGAGCCCTTGTCACGTGCACTGTCCTCCCCGCTGGCAGACGCGGTCACTTCTGGCCTCGTCTCTCATTTGCTCCAGACCTTCCTGGCTGAGCCAAGCTTCCTTGGACTTTATCAAGTGCCAGCCTGTTGACATGAGCTTGGCAGCCCCCAGTTTCTCTGTGCAGGGCCCGGCGGGCAGGGGAGTGGGCAGGCGGGAGAGGCTGGGAAGGGGTCATGCTCTGCAGAAACCTTATGTTGTTAGTATTGCATTCTGTTCCACTTACTCACATGCTACCTGAACATTGTTCCCTGGTTGCTTCACATAATACCTCTCCAGGTGTTTGGCCAGGACAAAAAAACACCCAAACAAACAAAGAACCAAACCATGTGTGTCTGGTTAGCAGCTGAGCACATTAACCATTTTCACCACCCAGGGACTCCAAACCCAAATCAAATCCACTGCTGATGAGTTGATTCTGACTCATAGTGACCCACAGGACAAAGCAGAACTGCCCCATAGGGTTTTCAAGGCTGTAAATCTCTATGAAAGCAGACTGCCACATCTTTCTCTTACTGAGTGCCTGGTGGTTTCAAACTGCTGACCTTTCCATTAGCAGTCGATCGCTTTAATCACCAGGCCACCAGGGCTACTTCCAGGGAGTCTGGTGGGTCACACTTCCAACCATCTTTGCAGCTGAGACTCATAGGGTCTCCACACAGAGGATGCAACACAGAAGGACTGGCTCAAGTGCACCAAGCAGAAATGAATGGGCTTACCAACTCTGCTTACTCACCAGCGTTTCTGCGGTTGGGGAGTGCAACTAAAGGGATTACCTATAGATAAGGATGTATTCCCAAATATTCTGACAAGCTCTTCTTTTTTTGTAAAGATATTAAGTGAAAATTATTTGTTGGCTTGGCATAAAAAAACAAACCCATTGCTGTGGAGTCAATTCTGATTCATAGCGACCCTATAGGACAGAGTAGAACTGCCCCATAGGGTTTCCAAGGAGCAGCTGGTGGATTCGAACTGCTGATGTTTCGGTTCGCAGCTGAACGCTTAACCGCTGCGCCACCAGGGCTCCTGGCTTGGCACAGAAGGGTGAATTTTACCAGTTTTTCTTTCTAGAGCAAAACCAGTCATCCTATGAAAGCAGGAACTCATGAAGATGCTATCAGGAGTTCTCTGAGTGCTATTTCTGAAGCCTTTAACATTTTTCTCTTCTTGGGAAAAAAATGATTACTTTCCATGTCTCATGTACACATGGCCAACTCCTTCCCCTTTGTGTTATCTAGAAAGTTCCTGATGTTTGAGATGCTGTCTGATTGAAACATTCTCTCTCATGTCCCATGTGCCCACGTTAATGGGGCTCATGTCTACGCAAGAGGAAACTAGCAGGTTCTTCTCTGGAATAGTGCTGCGCAACTGGAAACTACTATTTAGGGATGGTGGTGGGTGGAGAGGGGGAGGCAAGGAGCAGGAGCTGAGAAAACACTGCAGAGGACACAGTTATCACCCCATCACCTCGACTTGTGATCACCCTTTCAAAGCTTGCTCCTCTCATCTCCCCTTTGATTCACGGGACACTGACTGTGTCCTGTGCTCTGGCACCCCTGTCTCTTATGAAAGAAGAAGGCCTGATTTATTAAACATGGTGACGTCTTACCCATTTAAAAAGGGTCAGTTATGCTTGGTTTCTCGCTAAACCTAGCATCGGCATTCCAAGATGCAGAGCTCATTCGTTCCTGTGAGCTTTCTCTTCTCTGTTTCTCTTTCTTCCCCTGGCTTTCTCTCATTCCGTCCTTCATCACACATTTCGTGAAGCCCCCCCTCTATGCTTGGCACTGTGCAGCTGTTGCACACACGTGCAGTAAGAGATCACACCCAAGTCCCTCCACACAGGAGCCAATCTCCCCCTACCCTTTATTTAAAATGTGTTTTTTAAGATTTCGTTACACTCGCAAGGCAGACTTCAGAGGGCATTTCCAGCTTTGCTGAATGACCATCACGAACTTTCATGTGCTTTTTTAAATGCCCCAGTGCCTAACAGAGAAGCTGGTACACAGGGAACATTTTTACAAGTTTGTCACATGAATGAATGAATGCGTGAAAGAATAAGTATTAGCAGCTTACTCTTTGAGCATCGACTCTGTGCCAGGCATTTCAAACACACCAACACAGAGGCATCTTTTGGTGTCTGCAACCCTGGCATCCGCCCCACTGCCCTTGTGAGATGACCCAGTGATCCAAATCCTCTGCATCCCCAGGACCACCACGTGGATCATGTCTATTAACTCCCCTGTGGGAGCCTCCAAGAGAAACTTGCCTGCTGGGTCAAAGGATGCTAGAGTTGCCAAAAAAAAAAAAAAAAAACCAGCACCTTGGCCCTGTGCCACTGAGTAAGTGCTTTTCATTGTGTGAATCTTACACATCCAGCTGAGCTCTGTCCCAACCCACTGCCCACCCCCGCAAGTCCAAGTTCTTAAAGGACCAGAGCAACTTTAACAGAGAGTGAAGGTTTCTCAGAATAACATCAGTCTTCAAAGCAGGCTTGGGAAAAGGGTAGAAAGAACAGCTGATGCATTCTCCCCCACACAGCTAACAAGCCAGAGGCTCTTCAATCAGAGATAATTTTGGGCCAAAAAGATTAGACGCATTTGAACTTAGATATAACTCGATTCATCAGTCTCTATCCCACTCTATCTTCAGGCAGTTTGAAATCCATCTCAGTGCCCCGTTAAGAGTTACATTTTAACCAGTCCGTGAAGATAGGAGCCATAATATTACTTATGAACTCGTGGACTCTAAACACAGAAGCCACAGGAAATAATACATAAAAGAATAAGCTTCAGCGAGGCCTCTTGGGAAACTCATTTCCTGATTTGTCTCGGAGATCAGATTTTAATTTAATTTAACATATTTATTTTTTCGTTAATTACTACAAGACAGCTGGGATGCATTTTGAAATACTGAGGTTAAAAGGGAACTTGAAGAGCCAGCCTGGATCTACATGAGCAAAAGAAGAGCAGGGGGACACAGATACTGGAGAAAGGACTCGGAGGTGGTGGGATTGGACCTGTGGGGACTGTTTTCCCAGGGCTGCAGGATCCTACCACACTTGGGCAGAGTGCAGAGTGAGAGGCCGGGGCACGATCCATTTTGGTTCTATTTTATAAGTCACATGTGGGCAAGTCTGGGCGAGCACCGATTTGGTGAATACAGAAATGGCAGAGAGCAGGAAGTCGAGAAAGGAGCGCTGGTGGCGGGGTGGTTACGCGCTCAGCTGCTAACTGAAAGGTCGGAGGTGTGAACCCACCAGCTGCTCTGTGGGACAAAGATGTGGCAGTCTGCTCCCATAAAGATTTACAGCCTTGGAAGCCCTATGGGGGAAGTTCTACTGTGTCCTACGGGATCGCTATGAGTGGGAGTTGACTCAAAGGCACACACCAACCGCAACAGAAGTAGAGACGTTGGTTTTGGTGGAGAAAAATTAACAGCATGGCTTAGCCACTGCTGAGCCCTTGCTCTTAGAAGAGGCAGGAAAATCACAGAATTTTCTATTTCCAAACACAGATTGTATGGCTCTGGCATCCTATTGTGCAGGGAGAGGTGGATGGTGAGGATCACGGTCCTAAGTTCTACCCTGAGCCGGTCTACTAAGTGCTGGATAAGGGAATGGTCTTGTGAGTATGGCTGCTTTGGTTTAAGTCCCGTTCTTGCTATTTACTTGCCTGAGACCTTGGCAAGTTATTTAAAAGCTCTGTGCCTCAGTCTGCCCATATGTAAAATGGGACCAGTAAGAGTTAGATTAAACGAGTTCATCTGTTTAGAGCACCGAGCCTGGTGCCTGGCATAGAGTGCTCCACATGTGTTAGTGACAGCTATCATTTTCTCCTAAATGTCAGATACACCCTCTCTTCTTGATCCCCTATGCCATGATTTTAAATTAGGCCCCTGTCATACTTGCCTAGACTATGGCTACACTTCCTAAAATATCGGATCACGAATCAAATGCGTGTGTGGCCCCGGGCTTCGTGATGAAGCTCTATCTTCTTAGCTAGGCTTGTGGGCCCTGCAAGGTCCCCATCTTCCTGCCTAGTCTCTTTCTTGCTGGTGCCCCTCAGTCTCTGCAGCTGTCAGTCTCCGAGCCTGCTCTGCTCCCCTGTGCTTAGAGGGCTCCCACCTGCTGGTGCATCGGCCAACACTTACTATGCTACTGGCCCTCAGACTAGAGGGCA